GTGGGCGCAGCCTGGCCCCCCCCCCCAGTCACGTGGCCTGTGAGCGGCCCCGCCCCCAGGCGCCCGGCAGCCCCAAAACGTTGGGGACCACTGGCATAGATGATCATTTGCAGGTAAAACACCGATCTCTCTGGAAGGAGAGAGGCAGAGATGGGTGGGTGCCTCTATAGCAGAGGTGGGCAACGTGTGGCCCACAGGCCCCATGTGGCCCATTGGGGTTCTATGTGTGGCCTGCAAGATGTTTGGTTTACTGCTGCCCACGCCGGTTGCCAGATTCTGCTGGTTTCTATCTGTGTGCAGGAGACCCTTTTGATTCGCAGATTTGCTATTCGTGATTCTGCATATTCACTGGTGTCTCCTGTCCCGGCCCGGAGCTCCCAGCCCGTGGTGACTTCCCCGCTGTGGCCAGGAGCTGTGATGAGTTCCCCAAAGCTCCCAGCTCCCACAGTGAGTTCCCCGCTGTGGCCAGGAGTTGTGGGTGCTGGGAACCACGGTGAGTTCAGGAGCCACACTTGAAGGAAGCCTGGTGCTGGGAGGGGAGCCCGCAGGGAGTAGGGGACAGGAGAGGCTGGGGCTCCTGGGCAGGGGTGGCAAGCTGGCTAAAATGTTGGTGGTGCCCAGAATACCCAGAGCCTAAACCCCTTCTCCATCCAAACTCCCACCGCCACCACCCGCCTCAGGCTCTGGAAGGGAGTTTGTTTAGCAGACTTCTGGCGTACTTAACATTTTTTGCTATTACTTTTTGGTTTTGGCTAGCTGTTCTTCAGATTGTTTTGGGCCTTCCTAATTATATTTTTACACTTCCTTTGGCATTTGCTCCTTTCTATTTTCCTCACTAGGATTTCACCTCCACTCTCTACCAATGCCTTTTTATTTCCCACTGCTTCTTTTACTCGGTTCAGCCATGGTGGCACTTTTTCAGTTCTCTATGTTTTTCTAGCTTGAGGCACACATTTAACCTGAGCCTCTATTAGAGTGTCTGAAAAGTTTGAAAACTTACGGGGATTTCACTTTTGACACTGTACCTTTCAATTTCTGTTTAACTAACCTCTTCATTGTGTGTAGTTCCCCTTTATGAAATTAAATGCCATGGTGTTGAGCTACTGTGGTATTTTTCTAACCACGGGCGTGTTAAATTTAATTAATTCACTATTTCCAAGCAGTCCAGCTATAGTCATCTCCTCTGAGCCGCCCTGTCCATAGGACCAATCAGGACAGCTGTGCCAGCCTCTGCGTTTTTGCGGGGAGGAGAACGTCCAAATGGAGCAGAAGAAAATTATCCACAGTTGGGACCTTCCTTCCAGGTGATGCAATAACCTATCACACTGAGACCTCTTCAGGGGAGGGAAGTCCAGTTATTAGGAAGACACAGGTGTTAGCATTGATGGGCTTCTGCCTGCATCCTCTTTTTACATGTAGAGTTTGATGGACTTCTGCCTGCATCCTCTTTTTACATGTAGAGTTTATCCTTTTTTGATATTTATTTTTTTAAAACAGGTGGTTTTGGTTTTAGGTTAAAAAAGTTTAAAGAATGTTAAATGTTAAGTGTAGCTAGCCCTCCTCAAACTCGGCCTGTGATGAATTCCGAAGCTGGGAACAGCACAGCCTGTGCAGCAGGGAGTTTGTTTATAAACACAGGTAGGGTAATTAAGGTAACAAACGGCTTGTCATTCAAGTGGAGTAAGGATCATTGGGTGATTAAGTCACACTCAGGATGCGTTACAGTTAACATTGACAGAGCCATGCCCCGGACCATGAGTATTCATGGTGTTAGAGCACCTCTGGGGCCCATATAACTCACTGCCTGGGAGACTGGAGAATTCTAGGGGCCAGGAGGCCAGTGCCTGCAACCTCCCCGCAGTTCAGCAAATGTGGAAATATGTGACAGGGATGCCAAAAGCAACAAAGTCACGCAAAGTGGGAGACAGCCCTGCGGCTCAAGCAGCACATGGAGAGGGGACAAGTATCAGAGGGGGAGCCGTGTTAGTCTGAATCTGCAAAAGCGGCGAGGAGTCCTGTGGCACCTTATAGACTAACTGAAGTGTTGGAGCATAAGCTTTCGTGGACAAAGACCCACTTCGTCAGATGCATGTAGTGGAAATTTCCAGAGGCAGGTATAAATATGCAGGCCAGAATCAGGCTGGAGATGAGGAGGTGGATCCAATCAGGGAGGATGAGGCCCACTTCTAGT